AACGGACAAAATACTGCCACATAATACACCAGACATCACACTGGGTGAGAAAAATAAGGGCACAATCAATCATAGACATCACAATAGGTGATAGCAGGGTCGCCGAGAAGGAACATGAAAAAATCGCAAAATACCAGGACTTAAAAATTGAAATTCAACGACTATGGCACAAACCAGCAGTGGTAATTCCAGTGGTAATTGGCACACTGGGTGCTATTCCTAAAGCACTGGAATTACATTTAAAACAGTTAAAAATTGACAAGATCACCATCAGTCAAATGCCAAAAGCCGCACTGCTTGGATCTGCATGCATATTACAAAAATACGTTACGACGTCCTAGGCCCCTGGCCCTGGGTGGGGCCCGACTAGTAACCAATGCCAAATCCGGCGAAACAACTGGTCGCTGTGATACAATTGTATAATAATGCTATTTCTCAAGAACAAGTGTACTCAGACAGAACACTGTTCATATAAACATTGAATTTTTATGCTTAATATTTAAAAAAAATTTAAAATAAAAAATAATTTTCGCCACTTTTGGCAAAATACTTCATTAGAACAAAAGTATCAACTTAAAGCCGGAAATCCTTGCATAAACCAATACATTCTATGTAATCCACTACTAGTGATTAAATGTGATTAAAAATATTGTGAACTTACAATTTGTAATAAATTATGTAAAATGCAAATTAATATTAAAAAGACATACATTATTATTCTTAATGATAAATTCATCTAAACAGTGCAATCCTTGCATCATACCTTCTGGACAATAGTGGTAGCAAGCTCTTCTATCAGTTCTTCTTTATGATCTTGCAAATAACAAGCTTCATACTGTTTGTCCTCAAAAAGATATGCAGGTAAGCATTAATACTCAAAAAATTCAAATTTTAAAACGGCCATAATGGTTTAAAAACACTATAAAACAAATCCCATTTTGTAAAATTAAATCAATTACCCACATAAATACAAGGGATCTGCTTAATTGTTCTGTGTGTGTGTGTGTGTGTGTGTGTGTGTGTGTGTGTGTGTCTGAAACATTCCAGGATTTGTCCACCTGTCTATGGCCACATTGGTAGAAGATAAGGTATGCATGTATATACATTTGTGTATAAATGCATTTATAAAAGTTGAACAATTTTTTATTTGTTTTTGAATTATATATTTTTTGGGAAGACTCTCCTTATGTACTAATTATTGAACACCAAGGAAACTCCAGCTCATCTTCCTGATGTCTTCTTTTAATGATAATTGAACACGTATCTGTTCAACCAAATATTTCAGGAATAGCAATTATTTTTAAAAATAAATTATATTTGATTTTTGTATGTTTCTTGTTTCTTGAATAGGTAATATATTGCCTGCTTTTACTTGTGGATACTTCGGAGAAAGAATGCAGAAAAATAAATATTGCTGCTGTGATAATAAAGAGAAGTAGGGAAATGGTATATGAATGATTAATATGATAAAATGTAAAATAATTAAAAATGAAAAGAAATAAAATAAAATAATGGAATAGAATAAACTGTAGTAATATTGGCCTGTAAATGTACTGCCTTTTCTAATTGAGCAAGAAACGCATACTACTAGAAGGAATATTTTTTTTATTAAATGAAAAAAAAATCTTTCTTACCAAGCTGTCACTGTATATCCCTGCCTTGGAAATAGCTTCTTCTATTACTTCTTCTGCAACATGCAAGGCTACAGCAACAGTTCTTAACATGCTACGTCCTAAGCAAGGAAGGTAAAGTATTCATGACATTTATACAAGGGAAAAGATAATTAAGATAGAAAGTCTACAACTGCTTTCTCAAAAAAGAGATCCTTCCATTAACAATACATTGCTGTAAACCAAGTAAAGTTTTTTTCCCATTTTAGTATTATACAATATTTCTTCTAGCCAGTGAATGTCAACTGTCTCACTAGGTTATTCAACAAGGGAAACTACTGAGACTTTTTTTTAAACCAAGAATATAACTTTACTGAAGATTCCATGTAGTTACAGAAGTAGAAAAGTCAGTTCTAATGATTCACTCGAAAAGAGCATAGGAAAACTCCCTTTCCCCTTTGGATTCATTTGCACTATCTTTATTTTGGGAGTGATCTGTGTGCCTCGAGCTTCCTCAGCTGAGTGACCTGAGTGTTGGGTCCATCTCAGGCTTCCAGTCAGTACACTTGCATTCCAAATTTCCCTTCCAAACCTCCCTTACATTCCAATGTCGTCTGTCCCCCCCCCCCCTTCCTGTTACAGTTGTCTGGTTGCAAGTGGGACTGTGTAGAGAGTCAACCATGATAGTTTGTGCCCAAATATTTTTATTTTTAACACAAAAAAATATGGAAACCTTTTTAATTATAATTAGATGGCTAACTAGATTACAAAACAGTGTGTGTGCCAATACATTGCCATTAAAAACAATTATATCAGAAGCTCAGTAAAACAAATTTCATCCATCAAAAATGTTTTCAATGTTCATTAAAAAAATGTTGAATGCTATAAATAGTACTTGCAACATAAGTCATTCATTCTAGAGGGTACACAAATCTAATGTCAAGATTCTGACTAACAAACCCAAGCAAATCAGGACTCTGAGGCAAGATGTTCCCTCAAACAACTTCTTTATTGGGTAAACCATATCAGCACACTTGAAAACCAACTCTGAATCTTTCTTGCAGTTTCAGTATAATTAAAATCTATAAGCACCCCTTCCCCACTGTTGCTAGTCATGTTGGCCTATCAGATAAATTGGTGGGCTCCTCAGGCACTCTTCTCCTCCTCCCTCCATCACCTGCGAGATCATCTTGGTTCTCACGAGAAAATTCAATGTTGTGTCTAGCAATGCATTCCAATCTCCCCCCTCCCATACAATGTGGCAATGATGAACCAGGAAAATGGTTTCTAGCAGGTTCAGTTCAGTGTTGACTCCCCCTAATGGGCGAGAAATATCTGGAAAACATTGATGTAAACAGTTTAGTCTTGCTTCTATCCACCCCTCCCATCCACAAGTGCTTCTTCAATTTGTGGGGGTTCTTTTCATGGGATTTTTCTAATTAATCTTTCTGCCTTCATGTCCTTGCACTAGGTAGCTTCTGGTAAGGTAGCTTCTGATAAGGAGGTAGCCTTTCCATTGCACTGAGCCTCTCCTTTTGTAATCTAGAGTCTTAAGCTTTTTTTCACTTCATAATGGGGTTCTCCTTCCACCATGATTAGATTCAGAGCAGCTTGTTCAGCTGGCTGGAGTGCTGATCTCATTACCGGTTTCAATAAGCTACTGAGGAAAGCCGGATGCACTCTCCCTAACAGCATAGAAGTTTTAGTTCTACCTTGATTGGGTTGATGATTTTTATGATGGGGAAAAGTCCTATAAATTTGGGACCCAGTTTTCTACATGGAAATTTCAATTTTAAGTACTTGGTGGAGAGGTAAACTTTCTCTCTTATGTGAAATGGTTTTTTGGGGGAATGTCTCTTATCTGCCTGTATCCTTTGTGCTTCTGCAGCTTTGGCTAGTGCCTTCTTCACATTTCCCCAAGCATTTTGTGGTGAGCCCACCTACTTTGTTAAGTTGACTGTGGACGGGGGTTCTCAGGGAAGCTCTGGCATGGGAATGAATTCTATCCATAGCTACCTTAAAGGGAATGAGTCATGTGCTGCTGTGGACTGCATTATTATATGCCACTTCAGCAAATGGCAATAGGTCTGCCAATTAGTTTGCTGGTGTTAATATAACATCTCAAATACTGCTTTATCATTGCATTTGTATGTTCTGCCACCCCATTTGTACTCAGATGAAAAGCTGAGCTAAGTTCTTGGGAGGACTCAATCAGTCTTACAAACTCCCTCCAAAATTTTGCCGTGAACTGGACCGCTCGATCTGTAATGATTTGCCTTGGAACTCCATGCAGCCAGTAGATATGTTTCAGGAACAGTCTGGCCAGTTTCTGAGCTGAGGGGAGACCAGAGCAGACTACAAAATGAACCTGTTTGGAAAAAAAGGTTGGTTACGGTCCAAATTATGATGTCCCCCCGCCCCATTTCCAGGAGTTCTACTATAAAGTCTATTGTGATCTCTTCCCAAGGTTGTGAAGGCTCAACCACTTGCCTCTTTTTTATGGCCGCGCATATGGCACAGCTTTTTATGTAACACTCAATATCTTTCTATATTCCCAGCCACCAGAATTGTCTCTTGGTCAGGTGTCATATTTTTAGGAATCCAAAATGGCCACTTTGTTTAACATCATGGCTTTTCTGTAGCAATTGAATCTGGAGGGTGCTGGGAATGTACAACTTAGACCCCTTCCATGTCAGTTCCTCTCTGAGAGGAAGTGTACTTCAGCCGGGAGTCAGATTTTTAACTCAACTTTAAGTTTCTGGTGGAAGCCTTCCCAAAGCTGTTCTGATGCTTTCCGGGTTTGCTGTCTTGTAATGGCTTGTGCTACCTTTTATGTGAGGGGGATGATGGCATTGATCACTTCTTCCCTGTTGCTTTTGTATTGCAGCATTCGGGACAGAGTGTTTGCTAGGATATTTCCCCCAGGGATGTACTTCAGTGTGAAATTGAAACAGTTAAAGTCCATTGGACTTGTTTGGGAAAATTTTTCCAAGGGGTTCTGAGTGTCTCTAGGTTTTTTTTATCAGTCCTGGCCTCAAAAGGCACTTTACTCCCCTTGAGAAACTGGTGCCAGGTTATTAGGGTCCATCGGCTAGAGAACACCTTTTCCCACACTGCCCGTTGCCTTTTCAGGGTCAGTGAGTTCCTAGAGGTGTAGGCACAAGGTTGCAGATTTCCATCTTGATTTTTCTGGAGGAGCACTGCCTCCAATCACTACATCAGTAACATCTACTTTGATGACAAACAGTTCCTCAGGGTTTGGGTGCTTATGGACTGGTTCCTCTGCAAACAGTTGCTTGAGTACCTCAAATGCTCTCTGGAATCCATAGTCCATTCTAGTGGCTGACCAGGTCATGGCTTGAGGGGGCTCCCCGTTTTCATCAGTTTGGTGATTGGCAGAGCTATCTTGGCAAATGAGGGGATGAATTGCGGGTAAAAATTTGCAAAGCCTGAGAAGACAGGAAGTTCTCCAGCTGGACAGACGTGGGAGGTGTGGGCTCTTAAGAGTCTCACATGAACCCTGTCTGACAAACCATCTCTGAAGATTCTTTTGAATCAGAACTTAAGAAGGGCAGCATCTGATCAGACCCTGAGGGAATCAACAGATCCCTCGTGGGTTAGAGACTTGCCTATGAATCAGAGTCAGGGAGGCAGCCATCAACATGGCTGACAAGATGCTAGCTTTTTGTCAAGCAAATCGAACAGAAGGAGGAGACTGGGAGAGATGAAAGACCTGATAAGAGAATTTATTTAATCCACAACTACAAACTGCACCTGGAAAAGGCAAAGAAATCTTGAGAACATAAATAATATTGATGGTCAGATAGGGACTTTTTTTTTTCAAATGAAAAGGAAGGTGGAGGGTTGTAACACCAGCCCCCCCCCCCGAAACTCTTTGTTTGTTATTCGTGGAAGTAGTCTGGGCGTCTGTGCACGCGCTGAGAGCGTCTCAGTAAGGGTGTGGCCACCGCCGAAGAAGGAGGAGTGCCAGTATCTCTGCTCTGTTGGATTGGCTATGGGAACAATGCTGGAGGGTCCACCCTGGCCATGGCGCCAGTTTGCAAAGATAAGTGTCCCGGCGAGAACGAGGCGGGCTGTGCAGCATCAGAGCTAGTTGTGGTTTGTTGGTCGGGCCGGCAGGCGGCGTTGTTAGGGCTGGATGTCTCAGGAACGGCTGGATGGTCCATGGGCCTCCCTGCAACTCATCGGCGAAGCTGGTCTACATGCCTCCGCCAATGTCTCCCATCACCAAGTAGGGCCCTGTAGGAACAGGGCCCGGTTACATCTGAGATGACGCCAGGAATCCACTTTGGGTTGCCCACAAAATTCCGGGTGAACACCCCCTCACCCACCAGAAAAGCACGAGGGGGGGAAGGCTGGAACATAGAGGAAGGGGTGTAGTGGGGGTGCAGACAGTCTAAAGTAGTACGGAGTTTGCGGCCCATAAGGAGTTCTGCAGGGGATTTACCGGAGACAGGGCAAGGAGTGGTGTGTTGGAAACGTAGGTAAGTGGGGAGCTGGGTAGACCAGGGCAGCAGAGCCATGCGACAGAGGGCCTCCTTGGCAGAGCGCACAGCGTGCTCCACCAAGCCATTCCCCGCAGGGTGGAACGGGGCCACAGGACCATGGCAAATGCTGAGGCCAGACAGGTAGAGTTGGAATTCAGAGGAGGAGAATTGGGGGCCGTTATTCGAGACCAATACATCCGGAAGGCTATGGGTGGTGAATAGGGATTCAAGGACGCGGATGGTGGCTCCAGAGATTGTGCTCTTCATGGGGAAGAGCTCAACCCACTTGGACCATGAATCCACGACAATAAACAAAGTGAGACCCTCAATAGGACCCAGGAAGTCGACATGCAGCTGACTTCATGGGGCATGGGGCAGCTCCCAGTCCCGGTGTGGGGTGGCAGGAGGTGCCGGCTGCACCTGCTGGCAAGCCGGGCAAGCCTGCACCCAGGCTGTAATATCCGCATCCATGGAGGGCCACCAGACATAGCTCCGCCCGAGGCTTTTCATGCGGACAATGCTTGGGTGCCCTTCATGGAGGCGGGTGAGGACAGTGTGGTGGAGGAAGGAAGGAATGACCACCTGGCCATCACAAAGGAGGCAGCCCTGGAGCA